CCTACTGCGCCCCCACCTCGCTCCTGCAGCACAGCGCCCCCTACTGCCCCCGCCCCGCTCCTGCAGCACAGCGCCCCCTACTGCCCCCCCACCGCACTCCCTGCAACTCCCCCTCTGCCATGGGGGCAGGGCCAGCGGCAGAGGCCCTGGAGCGGCACTCACCTTTGCTGGTGCCGTCTGGCCCCCGCAGCACTGTGCACTCATCGATGTTCCCAAAGGGCTCAAACATTTTCCTAACGTCCTCGTCCGTCTGCTGCTTGCCCAGCATCCCCACAAACAGCTTCCGGTCTTCTGGCAGGGAAGAGGCAGTGCTCAGTGGGGAGCCGGGCCCATTCGCCCCCCACTGTGCCCCGCCCAGGACTGGGGGGGTGGGTGTCGGTCACAGAGCACGTGCTGAGGGCCAGACGCCTCCTCTCACCCCAGGCTGGGATCCTGGTGCCAGGAGCCAACCACGAGGTCCAAGCCTGGTGCCATGATGGGCGGGCCCCGGTGGTCCTGGATGGGGGGTGAGGTCTGTAGGGGGCGCTGGAGAGCATCACAGCTACATTTGGCTGGATCTTTCTAACCCTAGGGCCTAGGCTGCTGATTCGTCTGCCTGGCCTTAGCTCTGTGTCTCCAGACCCTGCTCTGTTTGTCCATCCATATCCTCAGATGCTAGACTGCTGATCGGTCTGTCTTTCTGTCTCCCTAGACCCTGGCTGATTGATCTATCTATGTATCCACCCCCTCCATGTCTATCTATCTATCTATCCCTCTATCCCATACACCCCATCTATCTATCTATCTATCTATCTATCTATCTATCTATCTATCTATCTATCTATCTATCTATCTATCTATCCCAGACACCCCTCTATCTATCTATCTATCTATCTATCTATCTATCTATCTATCTATCCCATACACCCCATCTATCTATCTATCTATCTATCTATCTATCTATCTATCTATCTATCTATCTATCTATCTATCTATCTATCTATCTATCTATCTATCTATCTATCCCTGCACACCCCATCTATCTATCTATCTATCTATCTATCTATCTATCTATCTATCCCTGCACACCCCTCTATCTAT